ATTAACCTCAAATCACTTATGAGGCCCTCCTTCTAGCGCCAAACTGTTGTTGTGTGATTGTTAACAACGATAGAACGTGTAATTACGTGGATAATATTAAATGATTTGGACGTAAAGCATGTAAGATTAAATCGACAGTGGCCCCGGTCCGAGGTGAACCGAGGTGAAGAGCCGTGATGGGCTTTTACGTGTTGCTTAGTAAAGTGTTTACAGTTCGGAGAATTCGGAGAAAGTGAGATCCCTTTACAATTGTCATAGGTCCGCTATTTATAGTAGTTTTGGGTTGATACATTGGGATCCGTGTACTACTTTTTGAATAAAGTGGCTTTTTATGGGCGGTTTGAGGTAGGGGGCCCCACGTCAATGATGACAGATCTTGTGGAGCAGGAGAGTCCCTCGTAGATGCCTTGTAACCTGCTTAAGGAGGTGACGACCTCGGTTCATGTTGTCCTCGGAGGATGTTGACCTCGGTTAGTCGTTGACCACTTCGGTCTTTGGTGGTTCAGACCGGCTTTTTCGTGTGGATCGGTGCGGTTCTGATTCACGTCGGTTTAAAAGTTAATCGCATTTAATAGGATGCTTAAAACCTCTTAACAGCGTCTTGCCGAGTCGGATGATAACACATACATCTTAGCATCAAGTCTTCATATTCAATAACTTTGCAGGCAACACAAGATATTTTTGTCATAAGCACTTACAAAATCCCCCTTATATATTCATTCAAAATGTGTTGAGTCTAAGTGGCAGACCCGCATGCTTCAAATCCTATGTGGCAAATTACATGTTTTATTATTTGGCTTGAGTAAGTTTTAATTTACTTCTAATCCAAAAATAATTAGGATTATCCATAAATATGTTTATTATGAATGGTTACAAGTAGTAATTGAATTTTTTAATATTATTTTTTATTATAACCATTGAATTGTAAATGTATTTTAAATGTTAATAACGTTTGTATTTTTTATCAGTTTTACATATATAATATATCAAATTAATCATCTCTTGATGAGTTTCGATTTAACATCCATATTTTTAGAGTATTTTTTAAATCCTATATGATCTATAGTACAAAATACAATAATTATTTAAAATGTATTTGGATATAATGTTTTGTGGTGATGGAAATTCTGATGGTAAGAAAATCACAAACGTTGTATATAAAGAATTTTAATAATATTTAGTTTTTCTTTCTTAAAATATTTTTCAAGTGATTATGTTATGATTTTTACTCTTGTTCATATTTTTCTATTATTTTTTTCTTATATCATACTGTTTTTACCGTGCAAATGCATGAGTTGAAAACTAGTTTTTTAATGGTATGTAACCAAATTGATGCCAGTCCTAGTTCTTTTGTGATGAAGACGAGTTCGCGTTGGAGTTTCTGGACAAATACGATCGACTTTCGACGTTGATTTGATTAGTCACGTACATTATTATTATTATCTTTATTTTGTATTGATTTTAATTAGTTAGGAAAATAATTATCTTGCAGTTGTTTAGCAAGATTGGATTCTCTTTTATTTAATCTGCTCTATTGCTGCGTAGGAAGCAGATTGGAATTTTATGAAATTTATCTGACGTTTGTCATTCACGAGATAGTATCTCATCCTTGTTCCCTTTTCGTATCACGTTCTACATCAGTTGGTATGAGCAAACCAGCCGATGATCCACGATGCCGCCGAAGAAAGACAAAGTCGTAATCGACAATTCCGTTGATGAGCGTTTTGACGGATTTGACGAACGATTTACGGACCTATCAACGGGGTTCGAGGAACTGCGACTGACAATGCGTACAATGATGGACGAGATGCGTCAAAATCGCGATGTCGCTGACCGCAGCGCTCGCGTGGGACAGCGTGGGGGTCGTGGCGGTCGAGGACTCGGCGGGGCGCCCCGTCGACGATCACCACCACCACTGCAGACCGGCGAAGACTCGGACGAAACTTTGACAGCAGACAACCCATTTGCCGACGGCTTCCGTGCGCGTTACAGAGATGGTGGCACTGGATTTCGCGACGGCGGCGGGATAGGGTTTGCTGGCCACGGCGATCCAGATGTTTGTTTTGGATTTCGCGAGGGTGGCGATTTAGGGTTTCTCTGCCATGGTCGGGACGGTGGTTTGGGGCTTCGTGATGGAGTTGACGACCGCCGTGCGAGAGGACTGTGGAGGGCTGCAGCGGAGACAGTGGAGGACGACCCGCACCGCCGGAAGGGACCTCTGTCCGATGACGCTTATGGGAGGAGATGGACGGCGGGAGACGTCGCGATCGTCGGGCTCGAGCAACAGGAGATGGCCATCGTCGGGTCCCGGTTGGAGGTCGCGACAATGATGTTGATTTGTGGACAACACCTGGGCACAATAGAAGAGGTCATTTTGGGGATGGTGATGATACTGACGGACGGCACCGGCGTGATTTTCGCCGTCCGACTGACGGCCACGGTCCCGCGTTGGGAGTTCGGGTTTCGGGTCGAGATTCCAGAATTTTCGGGAGGGGCAGATGCAACAGAGTTCCTCGACTGGTGGGCTGCAGTTGAGTCCGTCCTAAAATTTAAGGCGGTCCCGGACGAAAGGCGTGTCGCGCTTGTTGCCACGCGGTTCCATGGACGAGCAACGGCTTGGTGGATGCAACTAATGAGCTTGCGACATCGCCAGGGGAAGCCAGAAATCTCCACTTGGATGCAGTTTGCGTAAGTACGTAGAACGTGAATTTCTCCCTTTTAATTATGACCATGTGGTTTATCAACAGTTACACAATTTGAGGCAAGGCCCACGTTTTGTTTCCGACTATACGGAGGACTTTTATCGTCTCTTAACTCGTGTAGAGATACGTGAGTCGAAGGGGCAGTTGGTTGCCCGCTATGTTGGGGGGTTGCATATTGCTATACAAGATATGCTTAGTCTTGTGGTTCTGGAGTCGGTTTCGGATGCACATCAACGGGCCCTTATTGTTGAGAAACAACTGGCTCGAAAGACGGGCCTGTCCAGTGGTGTTGCAGGTGTAGGTTTGCAGCCCGGGCGTGGGACACCTGCTTCGGGCTTGCCCTCGGGCTCCATGCCGACAATGGGGCGTGGCTCGACGGCCAGCGGTGGGCTGCCGCGGACGACCGGTGATTTGGGGACGACGCCAACCGCCAATATGCAGCGGGCTGGGGGCGGTATTCGATGCTTTGGGTGCGGGGAGCTGGGCCATCGACAGACGGCTTGTCCATGAAGGGACGGGTCGCGTGCTTTGTTTACCGAGGAGACAGCTGAATATTCGGCAGCTGCAACATATGATGGCCCTCCTATTTTTGACAAGGAGCCCGAGATTCTAGAGGTTCATGTCCCGGGAGACGTGGGACATGCCTGTTGGGTTTTTTTTTTTGCTCTTTTGTCCCACATTGGAAGTGAGATGAGAGAGGAGTAGAGTTTTCCCCTATATAAGAAGGTGCTACTTCTTATGTAAAATCATCCCACAGAGTTATTGTGTTAACAATTAATCTTTGGTTAAAAATCCCTTAGGGTGAGAGTTAAGGTTAACGGATAGAAAATTCTGTGGGGGTAATTTTGGGTATAAGTGAGTGTAGAAAAATTGTGTAATTTTTACATAGTGGATTTTCTACGGCCTTGTTGCCCTGGTGGTTTTTCCCTCTTCGTTAACAGATGGTTTTCCATGTTAAATTTTGTGTTCTCCAGTTTTATTATTTCCAGCGGATCTTGGGCGGAGTTTCGGTGTGGTCGGAATTCCCAACAAGTGGTATCAGAGAGAGGTTAGCCTAGTTGGTATTCTGAGTATGCTCTGTGGTTGCAGTTTTGTCTGATCTTCCACATCAGAAAAGATACCAAAGAGGTCTCTTCGTGCGGTGGAGCCAGTGACGGGTGGAGCTTGTGTGCAGAGGAGTTTTTTGGGCAGTGGGGAATAATTACTGTGTAAGTAGGTTCTGTCTAGGAGACTGGTTTTTTTTTTAAGTGGGACCGTTGTGACCCCACCAGCCTTTCCTGGGAGCTTACTTAGAAGGATAATTCTTTAGGGGGCAGGTCGCTACCCTCCCTGAGAATTTATCTGATCAGTACTATTAAAGGTTGCTGCTCGGTTTTCTGCGAAGTTAGTGTTCACTGATTCACGAAGATGTCTGGAAATAAGATATCGAATCTGGCGAGATTTGATGTGGAGAAATTCGACGGAAAAATCAACTTTGGCTTGTGGCAAGTACAAGTGAAGGACGTGCTGATTCAGTCGGGGTTACACAAAGCTTTGAAGGGCTCGGACGTTCCCAAAGGCAGTGCTACCAGCAGCACTGAAGAAAAAGCTGGTGCGAGCAAATCTGGAATGAGCGATGAAGATTGGGAGGAACTGGATTTGAGAGCGGCAAGCGCGATACGACTGTGTCTGGCCAAGAATGTTCTTGCTAATGTGCATGGAATTTCGACGGCAAAAGCATTATGGGACAAGCTTGAGGAGTTGTATCAGGCTAAAGGCGTCTCAAATCGGGTGTATCTGAAGGAGCAGTTTCACACACTGCGAATGACTGAAGGCCAAAGCATCTCAGACCACTTAAGCGTTCTCAATGGGATCGTCTCGGAGCTAGAATCCATTGGAGTGAAGATTGATGATGAGGATCAGGCGTTGAGACTCATCTGGTCTCTTCCAACTTCTTATGAACACATGAAGCCGATCTTGATTCATGGGAAGGAGAAAATTATATTTTCTGAAGTCACTGGTAAACTTCTTGCGGAAGAGAGAAGGCTAGACGGTGGACGAAACAATTCACCGGAAGGTCAAGTCATGCTAGTCGGTGACGGAAAGAAGAGGAACTCCAGGAAGAAGCAAGTTGTGATTTGCTGGACGTGTGGACAATCTGGGCACGTGAAAAGAAATTGTCCGAAAGGAGGAGCATGTTCGGCAAAAGGCTCCAAGTCGGTAAGTGGAGATACCGAAGAAGCTAATTTTGTCTCTCTCTCCATGGATGAGTTTTGCTAAGAGAGAAAGGGGAGTCCTTATGGCATGTCGCTAAGTGTCATGAAAGAGGACGTGTTAAAATTAGCGGGTCCACAGTTTACACACGGGCATTGGTTTGGCGGTGATGCAAGGTGTGTGGTGGAAAAAGCGTGTCGAGGGCTGATGAACTTCCAGGAAAGCCAAACGTGGAAGTTGCACCATAGATTTCAGCAAGGTTATTTCGACATGGGCCGAAGAAATGCTTGGATGCGAGTCCGAGTGGATATGCTTTTATGGTGGAGCATGATAGCGAAAGCTATGAAAAATTTCATCAAAGTGAATAGTGGCTGTCAGATGGGCCAAAATCGCAAGGTGGGGTTTGTTGGGTTTTTTTTTGCTCTTTTGTCCCACATTGGAAGTGAGATGAGAGAGGAGTGGAGTTTTCCCCTATATAAGAAGGTGCTACTTCTTATGTAAAATCATCCCACAGAGTTATTGTGTTAACAATTAATCTCTGGTTAAAAATCCCTTAGGGTGAGAGTTAAGGTTAACGGATAGAAAATTCTGTGGGGGTAATTTTGGGTATAAGTGAGTGTAGAAAAATTGTGTAATTTTTACATAGTGGATTTTCTACGGCCTTGTTGCCCTGGTGGTTTTTCCCTCTTCGTTAACAGAGGGTTTTCCACGTTAAATTTTGTGTTCTCCAGTTTTATTATTTCCAGCGGATCTTGGGCGGAGTTTCGGTGTGGTCGGAATTCCCAACAATGCCCTTGTCCTTCGTCGCTCTCTTTTGTCCCCGCCTGTCGTTTCCACTGATGAGAGTCGGCGTCGACAGCTTTTCGAATCTACGTGCACCATTGGCAGTCGGGTGTGTCGTTTTGTTATTGATTCAAGGTCATGCGAAAACGTGATATCTAATGAGGCCGTGGCGAAGCTTGGATTGTCGACAGAGCTGCATCCAGATCCTTATGCTCTCGTGTGGATACAGCACGACAACGTTGTCCCTGTTACCAAGCGTTTGCTGGTGTCTTTTTCTATTGGCTCTGCATATAGGGATAAAGTGTGGTGCGATGTCGTGCCTATGGATGATTGGCACCTTTTGTTAGGATGCCCGTGGCAGTTTGATCGTGCCGTGGTTCATGATGGGCGCCTTAACACGTATGGATTTCTGTTTAAGGGCCATCGCATTGTCTTACTTTCTTCGGCCCCCGGTTCTGTCCCTTCGCAGCAGACGTCGCCTGCATTGTTTCTTTCTCGGCATGGGCGACATGGCGACTTGTTTGGAGGTGTGGACAGTCGTTCGATGGTATATGATGTGGGCGACTTTGTGTGGGTTGTTTCCCCAACAGCTGCACGAATGGGCCCTTACGAGGTTATCGATTGGCTACCTCCCGATGCATATCGTCTTCGCTTGCCCTCTCATGCTCGTTTGCCCGATGTTTTCCACGGGACGCAGTTGGCTCATTTGCTTCACGACGACTCCGATAGAGACGAGTTCGGTCCGGATTCGAGGGCGAATCCTTCTCAACCGGGGGAGGATGATGGAGACGAGTTCGCGTTGGAGTTTCTGGACAAATACGATTGACTTTCGGCGTTGATTTGATTAGTCACGTACATTATTATTATTATCTTTATTTCGTATTATTTTAATTAGTTAGGAAAATAATTATCTTGCAGTTGTTTAGCAAGATTGGATTCTCTTTTATTTAATCTGCTGTATTGCTGCGTAGAAAGCAGATTGGAATTTTATAAAATTTATTTGACGTTTGTCATTCACGAGAGAGTATCTCATCCTTGTTCCCTTTTCGTATCACGTTCTACATCATTTTGGTATTTTAAACCTCCTCGAAAATCGGTCAATATATATCTTAAGGAAATGCTACAGTCCGTTACGGAATCATTCTGTCGGGAGTTGTAACCTTTAGATCAATCATGTAACCGTGTGGATAGTTGATCTAACGATTACGAACTCCGACGGAATAGTTCCGTAACAGGTAGAATCTCCCTAAATCTTACTTCTTTTAATTAATTAAAATCCATAATTATGCATATAAGTTACTGATTTCTCAATCTATTTTTCTTAATTTGTATTGGGCAAATCTTAAACAGGCCGTTGAAATTCCACATAGGCTACTCGCCAAGTTTCTGGAGTCGCCCACCCAAAACTTCTTCTGCTCTAAACAAAAACATAAACTATACAAACAATCAGAGGCAGAGTACCGCAACAGCAATGGAGCAACATTCGACCTCTGAAGTTGAACCAAGCTCTCTACAAGATGCTTCTGTTTCTTCTTCGTCGACATCCTATCCTTCCCCTTCGCCGGAAAATCTGATGAAGCTTTTGCGAGGAAAGACCGACTCTCAGCGCCTCGCCGGCCTTCTTCTTGTCACCAAGCTCTGTGACAAAAACGATCAGCGTACCATTCTCGACGTGTACGAGGCGCTCGGTTCCACTTTCCTCCATCGCCTCTTGCTCACTGGTGTGTATGCTTTCGACAATATAATCCTGCTTCTATTAAATTAGATGTTTGAGAGACGATTTTTTTGTAACGTTTTGTGAATTTCGTGCTTATTTCCATGAACAGGAATGGGGAAAGGGAGTGGTGGTGGGGGTGACAGCGCCAATCGTGAGGCCTACCTGCGCCTGTCGGTGACGGTGCTTGCTGCATTTGCTAGGGTTTCTCAGGTTGCCGCTATGGATGTGATGCTATCCAAAGTGCCCCTTATTTTGGAGGTTCTGTCCATGGAGTATGTAATTAACAACCTTGTATCTGTTGCTTCTGTTGATGATTTCTCATTAAAGTTGGGTTTCGGTGAATTTATTGCTGAGAGCTTGAAGTTTGTTCCGGCCATGGATAAAGATTCAAACTTTTGTTACTTTTGATCATATTTATTGCCGAGAGCTTCAAGTTTGTTCCGCCCATGGATAAAGATTCAAACTTTTGTTACTTTTGATCATATTTATTGCCGAGAGCTTCAAGTTTGTTCCGCCCATGGATAAAAAGATTCAAACTTTTGTTACTTTTGATCATTGTGGTGCTCACACTATGTTGCTATAGAATTATGATATGATGCAAGCTGTGACCATGATATACTCCAACGCAAGTTGCTTTTGTGGTTAGACTTATGGCATCTTAAAGGAACTATACTCGATGATATTGTGATTATTTTGCCATTAAATGGACATCGCAGTACTATATATAATGGATCTTAAAGGGACTACCTTCGACATGTTAACGCGTGAATATAAGTCTATGATATAATATATAAGGTTATTAGATATAGTCAATTCGGTATCTAGGTGTATGCTTGTGAGTGTAAGGTCCGGGTTAGATTGTTGTAACAATATTCGTATGCCCCGTCACTTGTGCACTTTGGCATGAACGTGAGGAACAGTATTGTGGATATTGTTATTTCCTCTTGAAGTTCGCTGTGTTCCTGTTTTGGGTGTATTTTATGGTTTGAAATTTGATTATAAGCAAGTCGTAACCGAACCGAAACTATATTGTGCTGTTATATTGTAAGCTTGCATTTATTTTGGGTGTTAGCTTGTCTATTTCACTTAAATTATTTGTACCATGGATCCGCAAAGTGTACTGTTCTTATGGGTGATAAGCTATATTCTGCCCTTCTTCTGAGTTAATAGATAAATCTGTTTGGAAATGTAGGTCTGGTTCATTTGTCACTGAGGAGTGCTATGAATTTCTATTTTTGGTGACTACTGCTCATGATGATGGAGTGACAACTTTATACAACTCTGGAGGCATGAAAGTTTTGGCATCTCAAATGCCTTGTTTGTCAAATGGTAACTGATTATAATTTTTCTCACTATAGATATTGGAAATATGTTGAATCATCCCTGCTTAGGCCATCTCTGATTCTGAAAAGTTAAATTGCTTTCATAGTTTCTAGAACATGTAGAAAAATGCAGTGTGATTTATGTGCCAAATGATTGGTCATTCAGGATCTGATTTCAAATCTGATTTAGTCTGTATAACATGTAGAGAACTGCGATGTACAATTTATCTGCAATATAATTGGTCATTTAGGATCTATTTTTAAATGTAATTTTTAGGTTCCCATGCAATGGAGCTTGCCATGAAGCTTGTTCAGTTAATGATAAGCAAGCTATCAGGTGAAAAAGTTTATGTTGGTCATCCATCAGAGCTATCAATTATGGTAATTCCATTTCACTTTTAACATTAGTTACTTCAAATATAATATTGAGACCTATTTATTTTTATAATTTGTACCTCTTGCTCCTGTTGTTTATTCCAGGTGGCTGCAATAGCAAAGCAATTTGCTCTGCTACACAATGCTTTGAAGTTTGAGGCACTACACCTCCTTGTTGCTATATTGTCTTCAAATTATTCGGTATGGGAGTTCTATGTAAATCTGAGAAGTTTATAGTCGTTATATTTAAATAGGTATTTCCAACAAATATGACATTTTGCTCATTGTCGAAATTAGTGTGTGTTACCCTGCCATCTGGAAGCATAGGATTCCGACCTGTAAATAACTTCTATCATTGTTCTGTCATTTAAGCTTCTAGAACATTTCCTTGAGTCGATGTGCAAGACCCATCATACAGTGCTTTTCTTTAAAAGAAAAAAAGAAAAAAAAAAAAAGAGGATCAATAGTGGTTCCCCAATTCCCCCCTTGGGTGACTCGAACTCCATACAGTGCTTAGGAAAAAATAGTTTTACCGTTATCCTTGTGTTGTACATCAGAATGATGCCAAAACTCATGAGCGTCACATTTTCCTAGATATTGGAATTTATAAGCTTATGTTTCTCAAGCATTTAGAATTTCCCTTGGGTAGATATCTAATGGTATGTTGCATATTAGCATATATCCCATGCCATGGAAGGACATGAAATTGGCTTTTGGGATCTCCTATCACTTATCTCTAAATAAATATACTAATATATAGCTTATGCGATTTATATGTGATTTGATTTATGATATCCATTGAATACCGTTCTGCTCATGTCCAACTTGTAAAATGTCGATTATTTGTATTCTGTACGATGTAAGAATTACATGTTTACTTAAAAGAAGCGGTCTCAATCGAAAAACAAGACAAAATGTGCCATTATCTCTGTTATGGGTTACAGAGTTAGGTCTGCTAATTCATTTGCAGGCCTAATTAAATGCGAACTTAGTAAATGCAGCTATGAAATCTTTTCTCGTACGTTTTTGGAACTTATCATGGCTTCTCTATCTGATCTTTAGGGAACTCTACATGCTGTGCTTCGGTCAATGAAATGCAGCGACTGGTTAACTTGCATTCGGATTGGTGTCATCGATGTCTTACAGAATCGAGTTGGTATGTTCACCTTAAAACAAGCATTTATGAATTGCAGAATGTAAAGGCTAAACTATCACAAAATTGCAAATGGAGTACAGGCTCCTACCAAAATTTTTATGGCTGATACTTCTCTTTGTATAGTCAAACATTCCTCCTGTCCTTAGGCCATTTTTCTTGGCATGTCTTATAAAGATATGTGCACTGTTTATGTATTTTTGAGTAAAGCTACTGTTTCGTGCAGCTCCTGCTGATAAATTTCAGGCTCTTATCCTTGTTGAGTGCGTCCTATCAATTGTTGGAGAAGAATGGCTAATTGGACCAACCACCTTACTTGATGCACGTAGTTCGTTCCCTGCTGACAGGTGAGTGATGAAAGAGAGTCTTGATCTTTGATTTTCCCCTCACATCTGCTTTTTTAATACGTCGATGTACTAAATTTGGTTTCTGACCCTCCAGATGTATACTGCTGGTTTTGGAGACTTCGAGGGTCGAAATTGCTGTTGTCCTAAACGAGCTTGCTTATTTAAAGTATGAAGCCTCTGAGAATTCTTCACGAAGTTCTGAAGCCTTTACTCTAAAACTTAGAAACCTTGGAATTGCGTTCTCTTTGATAGAGAAGATTATTGAACTGGTCTCAAACCTTGAAAACGAAGGTACGTGTCCATAAATTGGTCCAATATTTCTGTTGTTAATTTTTACCTGTGTTTTATTTTATTGCAATATGCCTTTTCTTTTATCAATATCGAAATAAATGATTTCCATATGTTACCAGTTTCATTATGTTCAAAACATAAGTTCTTAGGAGATTTTTGTAGACAATGTGTTCAATCAAAGTTCTGTTAGGTAATCGTGAGCTTAAATTTTCATGGCGGCCTCATACGAAGATCTATACAGATATAAATAATTATAGACCCAAGCGGGATTTCCTGGGTTTATTGTACTATATGTTCTATGGCTGATGGCTTTCTAATATATATTAAGCTCTTGGTTAGGCCTTCAGCAGTACGTTAGGAACTCTGATCCTGATTATGAAGTATTTATTATGAATAGCTGTGGAAGTGATTTTTTTTTTAAATTGTATCTCATAACATAAGTAGTAATATTCAGGCATTTGCTGAGTATGACAATTGTTTGCAGAATCAAATATAGCTTCCTTGATAAGCGAGAGCACCTCAATTAAGATTATCACCGGGCTCAATGAAACAATTGGTCTGGTCCTTGACTATCTGCAAGATGCCAAGGTAATGTACCTGTCTAAAGCTGTAAAGTTGTAGTTGTGCCCTGTTTACTTAAGAGTTCGCGTTTTCTGTAGGATCATGGGGTCCGGAAGGGGGATGACCTTTTAGCTTCTGTCAGAATAGTTGGGAGGTATATGTTTCACTTCTTGTCCTTCTCGACTATTTATTTTTCTACAGTTAGATGTAAGTAATTTATCTTTTATTATAACCTTTATCATTATTCTATCCAGGGTTCAACATATACTATCATCTCCTTCGTAGTGAACTTTTAATTTTCCTGGATAATGCTTATTTCTGTTATTTGAAGATTTTTTAATGAAACGAGATGGTAGTTTAAGTAAGTGTTGTGGGGATGTAGGAATATGTGTTAAACTGTTTGTAGTTTCTCATTGTCACTGTACTTTTGTTTCAGTTATCTTGCAGAAGCTCCTTGTGCATGCAGAGAGAAGATTAAGGAACGTCTTGGTTATTTGCTATCTGTTGAAGGAGAAGATGAGTCAAGGTTTCACACAACACTTTTTACTCGATTTAAATGTTCCTTGGCCTTCCACTTTCGCATGATGTGGACTAATCATGTTTCCCAATGGCAGCCGTTCGTGCTCTGTGACCTTTTTGCTCCCTATGCTGTGCCAAATAACTATGGATGATGATGGATGCAAATTATTCGACTCCAATGGAGCTTTTGGAGCTGTAAGGGCTTGATTGTTTATGGAATAGTTTGTTCAAAATGAGTTATTTTGATCAATCATAGTTAATTTTGAAAAAAAATTGAAAAAGGTGTATTGTTAGTTGTTAGTGGAATTTTAAGAATGTATTAAAATAATATTTAAAATAAAATGATTAAAATTGATTTGATGTAAAAGTAAGAGATAAATTATTGGAAATGATTGGAAATGATAGGTAGTTAAAATTATGCGAGTGGATGAATAGTGAATTAAAGTTGATGTGATGTGTAAGAATGATTGGTTTGTATTTTAATTATATGAATAATTATAGTCAAAATTTTGGTTTGTTGTTTTTATATATAACACGAACCCACAAAAACAGTACAAAATATGATCTTCCAGTCTACCTCCAACGAGAGCATTGCATGTGAGCTTTCAAATTTTTATGGCAGGTTGTTGATTGCCTTATTTCATTAATTCAATCCAGCCGCTCGAGGTCTGAGGATGGCCGTACCATATTCTTGGCATGCGATACAATTTTGAATTTCCTTTTAAAGGTACCGTCTTCTGCTGCAGTTTGAGCATAAAAGGATATATATGTATTGGGAATCACAATTTTCCTTCTTTTGTTTAATAGAGAGAGCAACTACATTTTTACTTGGACAGTCGTACTGTTGTCAAGCTTTTGCTGGCATTGCCATGCTGGACAGGTATGCCTGTCTACTTCGATATCTTGAACTGAGCTGCTTTCTTTCTAAAATTGGTTGGTCTAAAATTTCTTTACGAAAAAATTCTTTTTTCATTTATTGTCATGATTATATATAGAGTCTGCAAGTGATCCATCTGTGATTATGATGGCGTCAAGCATTTGCTCATTAGTGCTTGGTTCGACTTCTGAGGAATTTCTTCTTCGCCACCCAGAGTTTAACAGTGATAATCTAAATACTCTAGCAAAGCTCATAAAGAGAAGCTTGATAACCAGTAATCAGGTAATTTTTTGTGAGGTGTATATATATATATATATATATATATATATATATAATAAATCTATATATTTATTTATTTCAACATTCCATATGCTGATGTTAGTATCATTATCCGGTTTCATATGCAAAACAGGATCATATGCCTGATGATAGCAACTCAGAGGCTGGTCAAGCTGATCTGCATCAGATAGTAATCTCAGGTAGCAAAGAATTCTTTTTTTTTACTCTGTCGTGTGTGCCTCTGAAACGTTTGCTATCTGAATTTAGTTAAAATAGCTCCCACACGATGATAGATACATAATGTGAATGGACGTGCAGGATATTCGTCTTGGTCAGATCGGTTTCCCCTTATCAAACAAGCGGTCGAGGGATGAGCCTTTGGGGCAGTATTCATCTTGTTGTGTTGTAGTCTTGTTGTTTTCTTTAATTATAGTTTCTTTTCATTTATTTATTTATTTATTTGCTTTTTTTTTTTTGGTTGTAACTATTGTACAATTTTGTATATTATTCATAAAATATATGGAATTCAAACTTTTTTGATCTGCCATGTGAGGACTCATATTGTATTCATTTGAAAAAATCTGTTTGCTTGACAATTGAATTGAAAGATTCTGGATCAAAACTACCTCCAAGAAATTCCCAAATCTCTAATTAAGAAAAAAAGTGAGTTCTGCATCTTATCTCAGTTTGACAATAGGATATATGACAAAATTAGAATGTCATATTCCAGATACAGTTGAATAGGAGCAACCATTACAACATCTTATTGATAAGTTATAAGCTAGTTTATATCAGCTAGTTTTACCGAACACATTTTAAAAGTGTTTGGTAAAACTAGCTGATAACCTAGCTGAATTAACAAATTCAACTAGATTGTTATTTGCCTCGATAATAGTTGCAATTAGTTCAATCTTATCACAAATTTTTTTAATGTGGTTGTCTAACTGTGAGGCGAACCTCGTATCGTTATAGAAAAAATAAAATGCATACTCATATTTTAAAATATCATATATTTATTTATATTATTTTTTAAAATATGATATCTCAGTTTATAATTATATATATTTGTTAGAAGTATGACAACTTAATAGAAGTATAGTGCCAATTCAGTAGTCCTTGTTAGATAGACGTGGCCAGGTGCCGGGTCCGGGCCCGGCCCGGCCCGGCCCGCCGGGCCACGGTTCTCGAAAGGGTTGAACCGGGACCGGCCCGGTTGGAACTAAGGGCCGGTCCGATGAACCGGCCCTGTACCGGCGGGTCTGAAAACCGCCGGTTTTCAGCCGGGTCCGGGTCAGACCCGCC